TCTTGATGAATATCAGATTATAAGATTGTCATATTTTACTGATCTTTACCATAAGGAATTTGGAGCATAAATGCATTTTAAATTTTTAGAGTGTGCAATCTAGGTTGCATATCACTTGAGGATATAAGTCTTATGATAACCCTGTCTTTTTTTAAATGTCTGCTCTGGCAGATATCAAATCTACAGACTCAAACTTCATCAAATGTTCACAGGTGGCACCTTATTGTGCCTCAAAATGGGCAGTAGAGGGTCTGACTAGATCTGTGGCAAAGGAGTTGCCCAGTGGACTGGCAATTGTTGCACTTTCTCCAGGCGTTGTCAACACTGACATGCTTGTGTCATGCTTTGGCAGTTCATCTTCTCTGTACCAGACACCTGAGTCATGGTATTTGTGTTTTCACCCTTCTTTGTTGGTACAGTTATCTTCCCCTTTTTGGCATCATATTTTGGCACCTAATGAATGACTTTTGCAAACCTGCCACTATGATATTCTAATTTCTACAAACTTGTTTGCAACTTTTTTTAAAAATTACAACAGTGACATAAAGTTAAAGAACATGTAAATTGTAGTTGTGTATTGACTCATAAAATAATTCATTAACTGAAAATAAAGGTCATCTCAATGTTCCCTAGATCGAGATCAATTTGATACGTGGTACGAGTATGGGCACGCAATACATTACGTTTGTTTGATACGTGGGGTGATGGGATATGCTTAGTTAGTATGTTGTTTTGGGTCGTGATTCACTTTCTAACTCTTATCTAGATTGCTTTCATTATTGCAAAAAAAAAATTCTACATGATTACACATTCATGTATACATACTAGCAATCAGTCGTGCCTGAAGGCACTATATAATAACACAGAAAAGTTATAACAAGATTTTTTAAGAAAAAAAATATATTTTAAATTTTAATTTTATTTCAACAAATCTATATAATAAAATATGTGTGTTTGAATTTTATACCAGTCATATTTTTCCTCTTAAAACCATAATCAATCACTTAAGTCACCCATCATTTCTTTGTTAAACTCAAATGTCAAATTATATCACTTATTTTTATCACATGTTTAATCATTTATATATTTTCTCCCTAAAAATATCACATCACTCATTTATATCATATATTTAATTATTTAATATTTGATTAATTTATAGTTAATATATTTTGAAAAAATTTAATATAGTGGGATCGATTTTTTGAACACTCGAATTTTATATTTTATCGTGCCTTCAGACACAGGTTATAACTAGTGTCTTAATATAACATGAATTTTGATTGTAAAATTTAAAATATTTGATATTTTATTTTTGATTGGAATATTTTTAGTCTAAGTATAATATTTTGAACTTGAAAAATCTAAATATTATACATCTATAAACTTCAAAGGGTCAAAGTATAATTTACTGATGGATATACTAATGGACATTAACAGCAAGGGTCTGTGTATAATATTTTAAATATTAAAAAATTTAAATAATTAAGTGACAAATTTTAAGGGCATAAATATAATTCTCTCTCTTTTTTATTTTTTATCATTGGACGTAGAAAAGAACATTAGGGGCAATGACAAGATTCGAATCGTCACTTATACGGCTTGAGTTAATAGAGATATAGTTATTAGATTGATTCGCATAGTAAAATAGAGAGAATAATATATCATCGATGACAAATGATATTATTGATTAATAATTGTATTATATGTGTATGGTGGATCTCGTTATTTTAGTGCATTCTAATAACCACTATGTTGAATAACTAACATGTTAGAAAATTATGGCCATCCTATATAAGTGAAAAAAAATAACATCTATCAAAAATTAAGATTAAAATTTAGTATGTTTTTCTTAGAAGGGTGGGGTTATTCTCACCCCACAAATCTTCATTCTCACCCTATTTAATTTCTCATTATCAAACTACTAAATTCACATCTTCTATACCCACACTATTAATAATTAAATTCACCACATGCTATATACACCTCTTTTAATAAATAAACACATTTTATATTTTGTCATAATTAAGATTTCATTCTCTATCTCATATTATGTACTCACAAAAATATTTTTTTAATATAAATTTTTTTAGTGAGATATATGTTATTATTATTTCTCAATTTAATTCTTTGTTTGATTTCATGTTTGTTATATGGATTTTCGTTTTTTGTGATATCTCTACAAGTTTAATAATTTTTTATTTAAAATTTATATGTGTGTATACATGTGTATGTTTTCAGATTATTTGTTTTTTTTTATCTCTTTAAGATTTTACATCTATACTTTTTTTTTGTTCAATTGTGTCTGTGCTTGATGTTTAATTTTTTTTTTTCATATTCAGTTTAGTGTCTTGTAATTTGTCTTGTTTCTTTAATCTTTGCTTGATTTGTTTTCCTTCTTGATTTGGTTTGTGTCTTTCTTTCTTTCTATTTTTTCATTGTTTCATTTTTTTATTTTTTCTTGTTTGGGTCTACTTCTTTCTTTCCTTTTTTTTTTTTTTTGGTTTTGTTCTTTTCATTGCTCTTGTTTCAACATGCTTGGTTTTTTTACTTGTTTCATTTTTGGTTATTTTTTTTGTTGTTTCTTGTTTCATAAATATATTTATGCATTCAAACTAATTTTATTTTTTCGTTATTTTTTTCTTATGATAATTTCTTTCATTAAAGGGATCTGCATAAAAATGAGCGGAGAAATGCTATTTAGACCTTATTTAGGGATATAATGATGTACAATTATTGAATTAGTTGTATATTTTATCTAACATTAGAACTCACAATTAATCTTATGATTACATTAAAGTCACATCATTAAGTCCCTAAATAAGATCTCTATGGTATTGCTCAAATGAGTGAGCTTAACTACTAATGGGGTATAGGTAATATGAGGTGGGTTTAGTTACAAATGGGGTGAGCTTAGTTACTAATAAAGTGAGTTTAGTAGTTTGATAATGAGAAATTAAATAGATTGAAAATTGACATTTGTGGGGTGAAAATAGCCCCACGAATAATCAACCTTGGATCGAGAAAAACCAACTTGTTGAAGAGTATGACAAAATTTGGCAAACCATTGGCGGGAGGCCTGTTTCAAGCCATAGAGAGATTTGTTTAATTTGTAAACAGGGGCCTCCCCCTTTCGAGCGAACCCAAGTGGAAGTATCATATAAACCTCTTCATGTAAATCACCATGTAGAAATGCATTGTTGACATCAAGTTGGTGAAGGGACCAATTCTTGATGGAGGCAATAAAGAGAAGACCTCTAATTGTGACAAGTTTGGCGACGGGTGCAAAAGCATCTTGATCAATTTGGATAAAACCTTTTGCAACCAAACGGGTTTCGTACCTGTCAACTGTGCCATTTGACCGATATTTAATTTTGTAAACCCAACTTCACCCAATGGGCTTTTTGTTGGGTGGAAGATGGGTAAGGCTCCAAGTATGATTCTTTTCAAGAGCGCTAATTTCAACAGCCATAGCATTGCGCCAATGAGGAATTTTCACAGCTTGAGTGAAGGATGTGGGCTCATCTATGGAAGAAATTGCAGAAAGAAAAGCTCGATGTGCATGGGAAAATTTAGCATATGAAAGATATTTGTGGAGGGGATAAGGAGTACCTGTCTGTTCAGAGTCCGAGGAAGAGGGTGGTGTACCATTGGTGACTGCAGCACAGTGATAATCTTTGAGGTATGCTGGTGGGTGACATTTCCGAATTGAACGAATCGGAACAGGTGGCATAGGTGATGTATCTGAAGGAAGAATAGGTGAAGTTGGTGGATTGGATTGAATCAAGGTTGGTTCAATGGAAATATTTGAGGGGCACACTGGTGCAGGATTTTTAGAAGCAAAGTCATAGTGTGGATTATCATCAATAGGCAAGGGAATGACAGGCAGGGGATTTGGTGATGAAGGAACATCCCGAAAAGGAAAAACAGTTTCATGAAAAATGACATCTCTCGACACATAAATGGTTTTGGTAGCAATGTCATAGATACGATATCCTTTTTGAGCATATGGATAACCAACAAAAATACCCGGCTTTGCACGTTGGTCAAATTTATGCTTAATATGAGCATTGCGAGCAAAAGTCAAACAACCAAAAACACAAAGATGAGAGTAGGAAGGTGGGGTGTTGAAAAGAATTTCATGAGGTGATTTGTCATCGAGTAACAACGAGGGAACCTTGTTAATTAAGTACGCAGCAGTGAGAATACATTCCACCCAAAAGGTGAGAGGTAAGTGTGCTTGGAACCTCAAAGCACGAGCAACATTCAAAAGATGTCTGTGCTTTGTGTTCTACGACCCTGTTCTGCTGGGGTGTATCAATACAACTACGTTGATGGACAATACCATTTTTAGAAAAAACAAATCTTCAATGTCAGTGGGCAAAAATTCTGTACCCTTATCAGAACGTACTTGCTAAATTTCAAGTAGAAAAATAGCACCATTACTATAGTGGACATTTTCTATTTGGTAATGATATTGCGTCTTGACCATGGCAAAGAAAGATTTCAAATGAAATTTAGCATCAGATTTGAAGCGCATGAGAAAAATCCTAGTGTATCGAGAAAAATCATCCACTATAGTAAGAAAGAAACGTGATCCAGACATAGATGGTTGAA